TACAATTCTGGGAGCCTGGGATGTGCACGGCCGAAATCTCAATACAGTTATTCGCACACACGAAGAACATGTAGCGTAGGAGGGCCATTATATGTGAGCATTTGCTGGAGCCCTTTCGAATAATCATAACGATTGTTTCATTGTCACAGTGAAACATCAGGCATTTCCCACACAGAGAGGGGTCCCATGCAGAGAGTGTGGCCGTGATGGCATACAGCTCTTTGAAGGCAATACAAAGGCGAACAGGGACCTGGCATGCATTAAACGTACTGCAGAACCAGGCACCATTAAAAAATGCACCAAAGGAGTGTTCGCAGCCATCAGTGAACAGGTGACAAGATAGGCTGGTGGACCAGAAATCATCGCAGAAGAGCAATTTGCCATTCCACTGAGGAAGGAAGGTAGACCACCAACGGATGTCCTGTTTGCTCTGACGGGTGAGACGTATGTGTGACGGAGAACGGGCCTCGCTGAGAAGATCGACAAGACGATGCTGAAAGTGCAACCCAGGCGACACACATTGCAAACAAAGTTCAGGGTGCCGAGAAGCGCTTGAAGCTGGCATTTAGTGCAATGAGACTGACACTCCCATGCGGCCAGGAGAGCAAGGGTATCATTTAGACATGATGACTCAATCCGTGTCTCTTGACGAATGGAGTCAATTTCTATGCCCAGTAGGGTAAGGCAAGTTGACAGGTGCACAAGTTTAGAAGGGTTAAGGGTAAAGCCAAGGTCAACGCAAGTTTGTGTCGTAATGTCCAGGTTTCGAGCACATGGTGAGGTGGCGCAGTCGCATGTGAAAAAGTCATCCATATAGTTCCAGACAGGATCTGCCCCTCAGTCGTGCATAAAGAAATTGAGGGCATCAGCATACCAGAGAAATTGAGCGGGTGCACTGCGAGCGCCGAACGGGAGGAATAGGTTGACAAAATAGCCGGTTGTCAGTTCACCATTGACGTAGATTGGCCAGGTGGAGCCGAGCAGTTCCCAGTACTCTGGGCGGACCAAGATATGCCGGTAGGCATCCGATAAATCCACTTTAGCCATCATGGCTCTGTGGCCAGCTTGCTTGAGGAGAGAGATGGCCTGATCGAGAGTGTCATATTGGCAATGGAAATGTTCCACTGGGATAAAATCGTTAACAGAATGGCCCCGTGGCCACGAGAGGTCATGGATGACCTGGTATTTCAGAGGATTTGAGCGCTTTTTGGGTACCACGCCCATCAGCAATCTGACAAAGTTGCGAGTTGGAGGAGAAAGGAATGGACCAGCCATGGGATTGAGGTCGAGTTCCCGGTTTAATTCTTTGATGTGTTCACTGGCATCCAGCGCGGAAGGGTAATTGGGGTAGGATTGAAATATTGTCGGTCCACTGTAGCCAAATTCTACCTCGTGCGTGATGTCATGAAGGAGCGCCTCGACGAAGGCGTTGTCTGGATGGTTGACGAGTGCTGCACTCCACTTGGCTACAAAGAATGGGGACCAGGGTTCAGGCAGATTGTGTGCAATCTGCCAGGGCGTGGTGCCCTCGGCAGGCTTTGCATACGTGTGCCCATTTGCACCCTGT